AGAGTCTTGTGCTTCTGTATTTCAAAATATACTGCAAATAAATATTTACACATGTATGTATATGAATGTGTGTCTTTATGTAGAAATACATTCTCTTGAAATCATGGCAGCAATTTTCGTTTTTCTCTGCTGTTGCTGTTATCCCCTTAGTCCTCCAGCAAAAACTGAGATTAAACTATGGAGTGATATTTCTAATGTGACAATAATAGAGTTAGTTAACCTTAAAAATGAAACTTGGGGTTTATTTCCAAGAATTTTTATGTGAGGGGTAAGGGTAAACTTATAATTGTGCTTGGGTTTTTTGGTTGTTTTTTTCTGAGGTGTTTTCCTAAGGCAAGTTTTTTGTTTTTTTAATTAACTTTATATACTGTGGAAGTAAGGTTAGATTCAGAAAAGACAGCACATCCAGAGACAGTATTATAACTTCTAAAACAGGAAAAGGTGAGGAACACAAGCAGCAGGTCTAGAACTCTTGTATTGAGATGAATTTTGGTTTGACTAAACCAATAAGAATGCCAGCCCAAATGTTACTAGTTGAAAACTGAGTAGAAGGGAAAAAGTAAAAAAAAAAAGAAAAAAAAAGTGTTATACTTTCCAAGGAGAAGAGTAGTTTTGCAGGAGAGACCTGTTCATTAACTGAGAGTCACAAGATTCAGCCTCTGATTACAAACTTGTTTAAGAATTCCATAGACAAAGATGCTTAGGCCTGTCTTTTTAAGACAATATACCAAAAAGTTGTGTTCAGCAACTCAGAAAATTAGACTTGTTTAGATGTAGCTGCATTATTTTATTCATACATGTACTTAAGTTTTTCCTAACCTTAGTGTTTATGTCTGTGTCTGTAAAACAGTAGTGATATATTAGAAAAGGTATGTGACGAATTTTAAAGCTCCTTGAATTTCATTCAGAATAGAATTGAAGAAAGGTTAGTCTCATGATAGCTTTTGCCTGTGAAAAGATAATACAGAACAGAGAAAGCAATTTTGTACACTGATACGCACTTATAGATACACATTAAAGGTGTGTTTAAAAAAAAAAAAAAAAAAGAAAAGAAGCTATATAATTTCACAGTTTGTATACAGATGACAAGTTTTCATAGATTATGTCTTTTCCAGACAGGGGTGATAATAACAGCAGGACTCACGCATTATAATCATTCCTCCTTCAGGAAGAAACAACAACCAGAAAGCCAGTACTTATCTCATAGTTAAGTATTTTCCCCTATTAGTATTTTTAACCTTCAGTTAATTGTGCTGTTTAGTGAATACTTTTGATCTATTATTATATCTGTAAAGAATTTGATTTTATTTTTTTTTAAACTCTCGTTGGCAAGCCATTTTTCAACCTTTCTTCAAATTCATGATGCTGGTTTAAATATAGACATTTGGCATATCTATTAAAAAAAAAAAAAAAAAAAGCAAAAACAACCCTTAGCTTTCTCTGTGCACTTTCAAATCTTCTTAAACTTTTTTTCATTTGTTAGAAAGTCTAACATAGTTTAATGTATCTGAAACACAGCTTTCAGTCTGTAGAAGTAAGACAATTGTTATTCTGGAAAGATACTGCTTGGTCTTGCTGTCAGTACATTTTGTATAGTGCTTGAATGGCCCTATTGTCCTCTTGTGCACTCAAAGTGAATGAATTTATCTTTCGAAGTGGAGCGTTTCTTTCTTCCCCGTACCAATTCCCACTTCTGTTTCTGAAGGAGAGAACATGACTGCACTCCTGAAAGCATATAATTCTGAACCTTGAAAATTAGATTTCAATGTACCTGTCGCTCACAGTCTGGCTTATGCCAAGTAGTGTACAGTTACTCTAAAGAGTTTGTTTGGACTGTTATGGAAATAGCCACACTCTACTGTACCAGTAACATTGGTTAATTTGCCACCACCTTCACTTCTGAAAAGTAGATTCGTCACTTCTAATTTCTTACTTTCTGACATTCCTCACACTGAAATTCAGGAGTGTAGGTTCTTACGTACTTTCTGAATTTAAAACGTGATAATAGTTATTCCCTCTTCAGTGGCACTGTTCATACAGTGAATATGTGGATACATATTCATACAGTGGATATGTGTGCAAATTTTGAAGGGTTGGTGCTCCAGCTAAATTTAGGTCAAGACTTTCAAATTAATGCATTTCATTTCTAGAGTATTTTCTTAATTCTGCATTAAGTTCAGTACAACAAAGTTTAGTGTCTGTCTTCACAGACATAAATGCGTGCAATCTTTGGCCTGCAGTGTGCTTCCATGCAGCCTGCTCCCTTTTTGCTCCAAGGAAAGTGGGCTCAGCTAGCTGTTTGAAGGCATAAAAAATAAAGAGACTGAAGGAAATACAGAGATTTTCAAGAAGGAACAGTATGGAATAGGTAGATCAGTAAAGTTTAGTTACCGTTTCTTTTCTCTGATGTCATGTAATGAAATTCTCTGTTATCAGACAAAAAAACCCCAACATACATGTACAAAAGGAACTACTTTTTTGCACAACTATTATTTGGGAAATTTATGAAGTAGGATGCTCCAGAGGCCTCAAAACATGAATGTGTTGAAATTTCTCGAGGACAAGGTTGTCAATAGCTAGTAAGTATGATGATTTTGCTGCAACTGTTCAGGGACTTTCTGAGCTGGAAGTCCTTAGATTGCTGGAAGCTTATTTGGGAAGATGAGAATGTACCTTTTCTTACATTCTTTTTATGACAGTTCTCAGTAGCAAGTGCTTAAAGGGAAGCTACTGTACTAGGTGAACTTTTGGTCTGGTGTCATATGGTAGTAATCGTTTCAGTCGTCTTCACTGCTCATCATTTCCCTTCAGTAAACTCTAATCTGGACCTAGGAGTATATTGGACTCCTATTAACCATGGCTTCTGGCGATCATTCAGCTGTTATTTATTAAGCAAAGAATGCATTGCATTGTTGTTCAAGTAAAAGTATAATCTTGTTATCTGTTATTTTTAAATCAGGACTTCTTAATACCAGTAGTTTCAAATAATTGATACCAATAAATGAAACCTGCATCCAATTTACATCTCGGAAGCACAATCCTTTTAATCCTAGAAAGTTAAAGGTGATTTTTTTTTTACTCATTTTGCTCATTTGATTTAAGACATTGCTACTAAAAATTTAGTATTTTTCTATCCTCAATGTTTATTTTTTTTTAACTCTCTATTTAATATTTCTGCAGTATTTTTAAGAATACTTCACTTGATACAGAGCATGGTGTCAAGTTCATACTCAAAAAGAGATTATTCTGCCTACTTCTTTCCCATAGAACTGATCTTTGAGGATGAATTAGGGACTCTGTAGGTTTCACAGAACTCTCTTCTAAGGCAGATGTGTTAGTATGAAAACCATTGATTTATAGGAAGATGGAGTGGGGGCTGAAGATGAGGCAGGAGAATAAAAATGTCTGTGTTACAGGATATGAGGGTAGAAGAAAGGTAGAAATATTAAAAAGTATATTATATGAAGAGTGGCTAAGCCACAGTACTTGTTGAAAAGTTACTACTTTTCATAAAGGTTTGTGCTGAAATCCACAGCTGGGTTCTATGCTGTGACTGTCAAAGGTAACAGAACGTGTAAAAAAAAAAAAAATTCTTAATAAGAAGTCTGACAAGGAAACATTAGAGGACTTATCCCATGCTATGTTTAATTAGTGGAAATTATGGCATTTTAAAAATCTCCCCTTAAAATGAGCACTGTAATGCCTTTTGGGGAATAATTCTCTTCAATGATCTGTGTGATGTAATTAGTACTTCCACTTATGCATGGACCAATATGTGTGTTTTATTTCAGAATGAAATGAATCATGGCTAAAATAATATTTTTATTTGCTTATACTTGAAATAGGGGAATGAAGTGAAAAGAGTTTTGTGAAGTATCTTCTCCACGTAAGCTTTAATACTTTAAAAAATTGAAAATGTTATGAAGATAAACTTGTAAGTGATACAGGTTTAAAAATGGATTTACTAGGCAAGTAACTCTGAAGTTTTTCCTCTCCAGAGCTCATATTTTAATTAGCCCATACCCAAATACTTATGTGAGAGGTAACTTAGTAAACATCTTGCAGATGGTAAGATATGTGGGTTTGGCTTTTTCTCAGGTGATGTAGTTTTTGTTTCTGATGCAGTTACTGTTTCCAAGAAATGTACTAATATTTCCAGAAATTAAAGTCATGGAAATGATGGCCATTAGATGAACAGTACATTAGTTTAAGAAGGAGATACTGATGCTGTTCTGGATAGATCAGAGATGACATATGTGCCTAACAGTGTTTCCAAAATGGATGCATTGCAAGAACCTTACAAAAGCTCACTGAGCATTTTATTTCCCAACTGTGTTAATGTAAGATTGGTTTTTTTTTTAAATACACTATTCTATGCAGGAAAAAAAAAAAAAATCTCTTAGTTTAAGGCAAAAATGCGCCGTATTTCTAATAACTGAGTCACAGATAACCTTTTGTCTATTTTATCTGCTGTATAGGACTTTTTTTTCAAAGACATTTGACATATTTAGCTTGTGTAATACACCAGAAGCATGAGCGACCAAAGGTTTAAGAAAGAATTTTGTACATAATATATTTTATTTTGTTAAAACAGTCTATTTAAAAGCAGACAAAACTGCTGTCAATGAGAAAGATTAAAATGTATAAACATTATTTAGTCATTAAAGCATGATTTAAGCTAGATACTTCCCTAGTTTTAGATCCACATTTTAATGCAGTCTGTTATTTAACCCTTTTTTCCCCTTTATTAGTAGTTACAGTGTACATTTTTTTTCTCCTACTAACAATCAAGTAAGGTCATTCTAGCAATTAGAAGCATAGTATTTGGACAAAATTTAATATAGGCTTATTTATCCATTAATGAATTAGAATGATCTGGCATGTTGTGGCCAAAGTGTGTATTACTGACATTGGGTTTTTGAACCATGTTAATTTAATTGTTTTTTGCACATTGGATTCTTGAATGATAAACCCCCGAACTTGTATTGTCTTTTCGCTAGGATTTTAAGACAGGATTTGGTATCACTTTAATCCCTATGAATGTGGCGAATGTGAAACAAGTGGATCGGACTGCAAAGCAATCTTTTGAAATAATTACTCCTTATAAAAGCTTTAGGTAAGAACTTTAATTTTTAAGTTTACATTACAAAATATACAAATAACTAACACACTAAAGAAATACTTGCTTCATACTACAGTGACTTATCTAGTTTGGATGAAAGGTAATATTTTTATTAATGCTTAGCATTTTTTAAGAAACAGAAGGATTTTCTTTCCTTTGTTTAGCTCTGTGTTTTATCTGTTACCTCCCTGACTAGACATTCGACGCCCACAAATTTGTATTTTTATATAGCCTTCTTTGTTCATTCTGTGCAAAAGCAGAAAAAAAAGTCACTTTATCAACTTGACTCCATCTTAAAGAATAATAAACTGCAGCAGTGAAATAATGCTGTATCCATTTAATATTAAGCATTTTGTTTTGAAAATAAAAGAATAAATCATTTGCCATCCCTTGTAGAAATCCTCAATTGGAATCAGTAGAAATTTTCACTTGGCGTGATGCTATGACTTGTAATGATTTTTAGGAAAAGAAAAGCATATGCTAGTAAAAGCCTTTTGTTAAGTGTTGTAGTGTTTCTTAAATGAAATGTCAGTAATGCAGGAGAAGAAGAAATCATTTTGTTTTCCTCGGCTTGCTGAATGTTAGCAAAGAATTTCCTTTCATTCTCAGTTGACTAGAGTAGCAGGTAAATTAGTCTTGATCAATGATTTGTATCTGTGGCTGGCTGGTGAACAGCTAGTTCTTTGACTTTCCCTAAGCCTTTACCATGTTGATGTTTGCTTATTATTACTTATATTTTTCAAAAAGATCAATTTAAATGAAAAGCTTTTTTTTTGATTGTTGTAGTTAGTGTTTTTACTCCTCAGTAACTCCCTGTGTTTCCTTAGGTCATTCTATACTTTTCTTAAAGTTCAGGCTTTAAGTTTCGTATGAGGTAAGATAAAAAAGATTGAAAGTAACACAGGAACATAACTCGAATGTTACAAAAGCTATGTATCTCATGCTAGTAGTGGTTTTGTTGAAAACTGAAGGGAAAACCATAGGGAATTTTCATTGACTGAAAATACAAAAGAATACATTTCATCTTAGTATTCATATCTGTGTAAAGGAAGATTATTTTTTTTTTAATTGTTATTTCGGGTGTAGATTAATAAATAAGAGAGACTGCAGACTATGTTTAATGGAGCATTAAAATAAAGATCAATAACAAAGAAAAGTCAATTGTTTCAGCTTTACAGCAGAGTCAGAAAGAGAGAAACAAGACTGGATTGAAGCATTGCAGCAATCAATAGCAGAAACTCTGTCTGATTATGAAGTGGCTGAGAAGATTTGGTTCAATGAGTCCAACAGGAGCTGTGCTGACTGTAAAGCTCCTAATCCTGACTGGGCATCCATCAATCTCTGTGTTGTCATTTGTAAGAAGTGTGCAGGTAGAGTAATTAATGACAGGCTGTGTGGGCTCTACAAAATGTCATATTTGCATATCTGTGTATGTCCTTGAATTAGCTTTTTTATTTTACAGTGACATCTTTGTGGAAGTTCTGACAAACAAAAAGTGAACATAACTTTTTTTATTTTCTTCCAATACCAAGGTCATCCTTATTCTAAAGCACTTCCATGCATAAATGACAGAACTGTAAGGTGATTGGTTTCCATTAGATGAATAATTCTTCACAGTTAGTGGAAATTAACATGCACTAGCACTTTATAGGAGATGGCTGGCTTTGGCAAGGCTGGATGCCACAGTATAACAATTTTCAATGTATAAATTTGGGGTATTAATTCTATTACATCAGGGCATATTTTACTGCCAATAGGGATAGCTTTTTCAGATAATACTGAAAATCTAGGTCTGTCATGTTTTATATTTAAATATGTGCTTAAGTAGTAGAGTCAGAGAAATAGTTTATAACTCTAGGCTTTTTTTCAAAAGAAACCCTCCCAAAAGTATTCTACATCAGACAGCCTACTGTTTTTATTCATTAATATCAAATGCAATCCACTTTTTTTTTTTTTTTAATTTGGGGCATTTTTTTGTGCTTTTATTTTACATTCAAATGTCAAACACAGCCTTTTTTAAAAATAGCAGTTGAAATAAATTTTTAATTGATTTTTTTTCCATTATCTCTGTAGCAGAGAAACCCAGTTTAAGACCTTTAGTTAAGTAAAAATACTGTTGGATTTTCAGGGCAGCATAGATCTTTAGGACCAAGAGATTCAAAGGTCCGGAGTCTAAAAATGGATGCCAGCATCTGGAGCAATGAACTTATTGAGGTATGTTGTGATATTCTAACTCTTTGTACCATCTTGAAAACTACTGTGTGAATGAGTTATTTATTGCTTACTCACAAGAAAACTGAACATATAGCTGCTAAGTAACATGCTTGTGTTATAGCAAACTTGATGTTTCTGGGAATAATATACCTTTGTGTCATTCAAAATATTTATTTGTTTAGATAACCATTTGTACAATTTCTCTTAGTATTTCTCCAAGCATCTAGTTTTTGGTAGGGGAAAGAAAGAAAATGCTTTTGGAGAGCAATCATGGTGGACAATATTGGGAAGGTTGAAGGAAAGAAAACTTCACACTACCAGTTTAGTTGCTTGGGGCGTTAAATATGCTGATGGAAAGGGTTGAGTCATTAGTGTTTTCTTTAAAATATATATTAGTCTTCTCTGACCTTTTACTGGTATTTTCTAATACGTATTGAAATATTATAACTGGTTAGCCTTGTAAAGCTTAGTTGCTGTTGACGGTAAATGATAACCACAGACTTTATTATTCATTTATAGATGACCATAGGCAATGACTGAGAGAAGCTTCCATCTCCTGCAGGCAATCTTCTCTTCTTTAATAACTTTCTTTTTCAACTTTTAGCAGTTGAAAAGTATTTAGAGATTAGCTTCATATCTTCCATGCCATTTCACTTGTTTTTTTTTCTTGCACCTCATCCAGCTCTTTATCATAATTGGAAATAAGAGGGCAAACAGTTTTTGGGCAGGAAATCTTCCTCCAGATGAAGAGCTGCATATGGATGCCCCTGCAGAAAAAAGGATAGAATTCATTACACAAAAATACAAAGAGGGAAAATTCAGGAAAA